ACAGGAAATGCGCAGAGTGGGGGATCTCTGCCACCTATACTTGACATGTGGGGCCAATAGCTTGATTTTTTTCTTAACTTGCCATTCTTCAGTAGCCTGTCTTGGCTAAGAATACCCAGCAAGAAGGAAGAACACTGGCAAGCCATTTACAGTGGTGTTGCTTGCCGCCTATTTTCTTTATGACTGTCACCTTTTCTGTGAGAACACCCCATGTGCTCCTGCCTCTGGGAACTCTCATTCCTCAGGGATTAACCCTGTTACTCTTCTTCTCCCTTATTTTCCTGGCCTCTACCCACAAGATTTCCCTTGTTTTGTTTTACTCATTGTGTTGCTTAGGGCATATTTTTTGCTATACTTTTAGAAAACAATTTCAATATCTAAAATTTGCAGAAGTTAAAATTTGTACCATATACTGTAAAGCCAGATTTTTCCTGTTTTAACATTTTATCCCATTTTGTGTTGTCAGTTCTTCCTCCCTCTCTCTCTTTCTCTCTCTCTCTCTCTCGCTCTCTCTCTGTGTGTGTGTGTGTGTGTGTGTGTGTGTCTGTGTGTGTGTCTATGTGTGTGTGTTCTGAACTATTTGGAGGTAAGTTATTGTATATCCTTTTATACTAAATACTTCAACATATGTTTCCTAAGACTGGTGACCAGATATTGTTTCTAATAGTTGGTGCTTTTTTAGGCAAGTGGCTTCCTCCATCCCATTTGCTCATGGTAAGGCAATGTGCGGATGAGACTGTGGACTCCAGGGCTGCCTCGTCTCTCTTCCCTCTTTTCCTATATAATAACCTGGCACCCTAGAAAGATACACAATAAGAATTAAAAGTGATTGTGACACTTGAAAGAGAGATTCAGGCACCCCATTCTGGACCACCACATCCTATTAACATAGATATATAGAAATGCTTTGGACATAAATGACAGTGTGTTTACACTGGCTACAAAAGACAGTCCTCTCCTAAGCTGTGGCCATCCTGTAGAACAGGTCTGAGCATTTATTCTCAGGTACTTAAACATTTGAAGGAATGAGAGAACTGATTTTCCTCCTGTTTCTTCCTGCGGTTGGTTTAGAATGCAAGAACATTTATAGTGTAAATGGAACTGTGCTATTTTGGTGCTTCTGAGGTTGTTGGTTATTTCTTTTGGGTCACGATGGTGTAAAGGAAGCTCATGGCGTCTGGGAGTCAGGATACATGATTCTGAGTCCCCTTCTCCATCCGCTGCCTGTGTGATGGGCAGCCTCTGCCGCTTGACTTTTTCATACTGTTTCTTTAGACTGAGGTAGAATGTGTGAATGTCCTCCTGACTGCAGTCTTGCAATTTACATATGAAAGGAATGCAGATATGAGCTATGTGCACAGGACCCAAGGGGCTTAGAAGTGTTGCTGTTACCAACTAGGAAGATGGAGTTCTTGTAAACAGGGCCCAGAATGTTGGGAGGGAAATTGGGAAGGCTGCAGCAGTGTCTTTTTGTTGTTTTGAAATCATGAGCCTGTTTTGATTTAGATATTGGAGAGTTCATGAGAACGTGGCTCTCCAGGGTTTTGCCATACCCCTCTGTAGCACAGCCTTTCTCATTCGTTGTTGCTGATGAGGCAAACAGGGGATACCTCTCTAAACATGGTTGCTCACTACATAAATGTGTCTTTCTCTCATTTGTTTCCCACCTGCTTTTCGAGCCCTTTTCCCAGACAGGTAAGATCCCCCCTTTCTTGTGGATGACATATCTTCCCAGATACCCCCCTCTGCTTGAGTATGTGCATGTTCTAGGGGTGCTGTTGGGAGGTCCTCTCAGCTGGGATCCAACTATCTTTCATATCCTCACCATTGTTCTCCCAGTCATCAAGACTGTCCTGAGGCTGAAGGGACAGAGTGTGAGAGGCTCATCAGCAGGAAAGAGGCTCAATGTGGGGACGACAGAGGCCTAAGATAGAGGCCAGCTTTGCAGAAAAAAAACCCAGGGCTTTTTCTAGCCTAACCTCAAAAGCCCTTGCAAGCACTGCCACAGAGAGGGCTTGTATGCCTTCTGAGACTGGTTTCACAAGTCTGGAGACAGTCTGAGTGATGTCCTTATACTATCACTCATGTGGTTAAGAATTCCCATAAGGGCTGGAGAGATGGCTCAGTGGTTAAGAGCACTAACTGCTCTTCCAGAGGTCCCGAGTTCAATTCCCAGTAACCACATGGTGGATCACAACCATCTATAATAGTATTCAATGCCCTCTTTTGGTGTGTCAGAAGACAGTGACATATATGAAATATATGTACTCACATATATAAAATAAATAAATCTGTTTTTTTTTAATAAAAGGATTCCCGTAAAAGTCAAATTCAGTTAAACTGATTTATTAAATGCTTATTCTTATGCAAGACCCTAAGCCAGGCCTTGTAGTTGATAAAAGTACTCTAAACTTCTATAGCCCTTTTCAAAGGAGCTTCCCATTCTATTACGGAAACAAGGTGTATTTCTCAGAAATTTTGAGGTAATGATAAAGAAGGCATATAGTAGACTCACCTTAAATTACCTAGGAATTTAGACTCTTTCATAGACCATATGATAAGAAGTAGAGAAGAAGTACAGGAAACCCAGACTAGGCATCATCTAAGTAGTTTGTTAAGGGTGTGCTTTAGAAGTAATAGATGCTCCTCATTTACAAACCACTTGGATGGGCAGTTTGAATGTTTCCACTTTTAGAAACGAGTGTGCTTGCTCTAAATGTAAAGAAACGGCCAGTGAAATCTGAGGTCGAGCAGACAGAAGAGAACTTCCTGCTCCTAGCACACACTCATGGGGCATTGCGTACACTTCCTTTCTGTTCCATGCACTTTCTGGATGTGGAGGGAGGGATAGTAAAAATCGTTTCTGAATCACCTCTGCTAGCTGGCAGAGAGCACGACTAAAGACAACGAGAAGAGTTTTGGATCATGAAAGGAAATTATGTAAGAGTAGATGGCAAGACACACTCTAAAGGGGGTGGTCAGGAGCAGCTGCGGGGTAGGCCAAGTGCTCTGCCATTGTGATAGGTGTAGATCTGGAGTCCCAGCAGCTTGGGGTTTGTCCCCAATTCCCTGGCATATCCCTCTCATCACACAGTAGTTCCTCCCCAGGAGACCTGAGGAGCTACCAGCCCATAGTTCATGGAGGAAGTGTGCCCATGAGCAGTGTGAAGGTCAGGGAGGTTGTCCCCACTCTTTTCACATGGCTTTCTCCTTGCCACTCTGGGTTACTCCAAACACAAGTTGTTTAGGTGGTTGACCCAGTTGGGATCTCTCAACTGAAGTCACAAAAAGTGAAGCATCCCCCCTGGCCTGGAGCTCAGCAGTGCAGTTCAAGTGAGACTGAACATGAGGACTTAGCCTCAGGCAATCTTAGGAAAAACTTCCTGAGATAGACGCTTAGCAGACATATTAACAGTGAGAGCCCAGGGACAGATAGACAACAAAGCTAGGACAATGGTCATGGACAACTCAGGTTCGAAGTCTGGCTACTTTGATAACCTAGATGAGTTTTCAGAGAGAATATGGATGCCCAGGAGTCAGTGTGTCTTAGTTAGGGTTACTGAGGTCATGATGAAATACCATGATCAAAAGTAAGTTGGGGAGGAAAGAGTTTATTTGGCTTATGCTTCCATCTCCATAGGCAATCACTGAAGGAAGTTAGGACAGAAACTCAAACACTGTGGGAACCTGGAGGCAGGAGCTGATACAGAAGCTATGGAGGGATACTGCTTACTGGTGTGCTCCCCTCATGGCTTGCACAGCCTGTTTGCTTCTAGAACCCAGGACCACCAGCTCAGGAATGGTACCATCCATCCATCACTCATTAAGAAAATGCTCTACAGACTTACTTACATTCTTATCCTATAGAGACATTTTCTTAATGGAGGCTCCTTCTCTGGTAGCTCTAGCCTGTGTTAAGTTGGCAAAAAATTATCTAGCACAGTGTATGAGCAGCACTGCACAGAGCCTGGAGCTCCAGACAGTCCAACAACAGACCTCAAGGCTACTGTCTTGTCCGTCATAATTCAAAGTGAATTTGGGCAGTTTGTTTGAGATACTCATTGAGTACCTGGTCTGTACAGACCCAAGCATGGTGTTGAAGATACAAACACAAAGATGCATGAAGTGTGGCCTTGGGAATGCTTCCCTCCCAGTAAGCTAACACTCAAACTAAACTGTTCAAGCTATGCACGGGTCTCAAGAGGATGATCTTCCCTCACTATCCCATGACCCAAGAAGAGGAAAGAGCCCTAAACGCTGGGTCAGAAGAGTTCTAATTCCAGCCAACCAGTAACTGGTATTGTGTTGTAAGGCCCACAGTTACTACTCTGAGCCTCTCTCTAGCCTAACGAGCTCCTTCACTAGGCTCTCATGGGAAAAAAGTAAGCATGGACTTGTCAGGACACATGTGCTTCACCAGCAGCAAGTGCCTGCCCGAGTGCCACACACTGGGTCTGACTGTCTAGCCTCTGTGTCCATGGGCTTACCTACTCTCCCGAGTACCACTGAGGAGCTGCTGGGTCATATTCCATGAGAGAGTGTGGAACACATGAGGCTTTCAGTAGGCAGCTCCCAACCCAGAATCCTCATCTGCCCTTCATTCCTGAGCAACCCCTTGCCCCCGGTGCCTGAAACAGAGAGTGCATGTCACATTTCATTGTTTCATTCCCTTTCTCTCTCTGCTTCAAAGAGCCTGGTGACACCAAGGCCAAAGAGGTCAAGCCTTACGTAGAGGAGGCTAGCTTAAAGGCCTTGATTTTTCATAACTGGAGTCATTCACTGATTAACCCAGGTGGGAGACAGCTGGAATGTTTGATCTTATGTTCTATTACAAAAAAAAAAAAAAAACCCTGAAAGTTTATCTTTACTGGAAGCTTCCAGAATGTTGTGGGGGTGATAAGCTTTGAGTGTGTTGCAAAACCAGGAAAGCTGAGTGACAAAGTCCAGGGTCCTGCTCCCCTCCACTTACATGTCTCCCTTTTTTTTATCTTTGTTCATAGTTGACCACAGCATGTTTGAGAATTTGAACACAACCCTTACTCCAAAGCTCCAGTCCAGCCATTCCTTCCCCCACCTGTCCAGACCTGGGGCCCCAGGCTCCATCACCCCTGTCTCTGGAGAGCCAGGAGGACCTGGACTGAGGGTGGGCAGCAGCCAGCACCTTAGGAATCTAGGCAAAGCTGTGGGGGCCAAGGTCAATGACCTTCTGCGAAGAAAGGAGTCTTCAAGCCTGGGCAGTGTGGGTGTGATGGAGATTAATAAGACGGCCGGTGCCCAGCTGCCTGGTGGGGAGGATGCAGCCTGTGGACCCTGGCTGCAGGATGAAAGGTGAGTCCTCTCCGCCCGCCATTATCCCAGCTGTAGAGGTAGGAACAAAACCACAGTACAGACAGGAGAGATGAGACCCAAGGAAAGGGTGAACATTTGTCAAGAAAAACAGGGATAGGCATGTGTTCCTGAGAGCCCACATCAGCCTTCATGACCAGAGAAGCACTTCCTGCCTGGGTACTGTGCCTTTAGCTCTGTTTCACACTGGAGCCCAGGCTAGTGTGGAACTCACAGTCCAGACTGACCTCAAAGTCATGGCAATCCTCCTGTCTCAGCTTCCCTAGGGTTGTAGATGTGACCCACGCTGCCCTGCTTTAGGTGTATTTTCATTTGCAGATGGCCCAAGTTCAGAAAGTTAGTATTTGGAACTGAATTTGAATCCTGGTATTACCCAGAAACTCTTCACATGAGTTCTGTTGCCTGCCATTCCTCAGAGCCGCTGCTACAGACCTGCGTGCCTGACAGGGAGGGAGAGGCCTAATGTAGTTCCTTCTGTTTCCATCCCACAGCTCCTTCTTGGGCCTTAATTCCAATACCTGTGCCTGTGAACTTGTGTGTCCCTTTTTGGGACCCAGTACTTGGGTTCTGAGATGACTCAGCTCCCTGGAGTCTCTATCCAGCCTCTCAGAGGCAACACTTTGTGCCACTGAGAGCACTGAATGAGAAGAGAATGGCCCCATAGCTAATTGTTAGGCTGAAGTTGCTAAGATCTACACCCTAAACCCAGAACAAGCCGTCAGTGGAGAAAGCATTTGCTGAGTGGGGGAGGGGTGAGGTTGAAGAGGCAGTTGGAGCACCGAATTGAGAATGTTTGTAGACTGGTATGCAATCGTGCATAAAACCTGAGTGTTCATTGTCATGGACTTTCAGGTCAGTCCAAGAAGCCTTTCCTCTGCTGGATCCCCCACCTCCCATAACCCGGAAGCGAACCCCTCGGGCCCTGAAGACCACCCAGGACATGCTGATTTCATCACAGCCCGTCCTAAGCAATCTAGAATATGGGACGGAATTGTCACCTGGACAGGCCCAAGACTCTCCACCCACTGCTCAGCCTGTCTCTGCAGACACTTCACGGCCAGAGTCTACCATTGAAATGGGAGAGAAGGGAGAGGTTCTACCCAATGGTGAGGTGTCCCTGTTGGTACCTGACCTAATACACAAGAATACCCAGGAGGAATCCAAGCTAAAGCTAACTGAGGGCAGGAAATCCTCCTCCCCTGGCCTCATTGAGAGAAACGGCCTCACACTCAGCTTGAGCCCCATCAGCCTGGCTGAGTCCTGGGAGAACAGCAGCCCACCTCCACAGGCACGGACTTCCAGCCTTGACAATGAGGGCCTTCATCCAGACCTGCTGTCCTTTGAGTAGCATCTCTTGTCTTCTGTGCTGAACACCCTTTTCACTTTGTCGTCCACTACACACAGGTCTATTGTCCGAGCTTTGCCATGCCCTCATCTTCCTTATTGAAGGCACAGCAGAGCCCATTGGAGGTGTTGTGAAACCAGATGGCCACACGTTGTCTCAGTTAAGGAGTCTGCAGAACAGCAAAGGGATTCAGTGGCATCTCATCCTGATCCTCTGCAAGCTCCTCTGCTGGCCGCTGGCTGCAGCTTTAGCTGCTGAAACTCATCCTCCTCCAGGCTTGTCTCAGCTTCCTACTCACAGGGCCACCAACCCAGGAGGATGGATCTAGCAGGAATTCTCTTTGCTTGTCTTCTCAGACTCATATGCTGTCTGTCCTTTGACCTTCCCTCCACCCCCAAATCCCCGATCCTGTCCCTTTCTTCCATAGTGGTCCAGGGACTCCCTTCCTTGAAGGTTGTACAGCTAGAGGAGAATGGTAGGTTTGGGCTTGATGATGGGACCTGGCCTGGAAAGCTTCATCCTGATCACAATCTCACCATAGTCCCTTCAGCCTCAGGGCAGTGTGGACCCCTAGCCACCATCTTTCCTCTGCTTCTGGCTCGGCATCAGAGGAGGTGCTTCCAAGGCTTAAGACCTTGAGAGTTTCCTCAAAGGTTGAGCCTTGTCATCCAGGGTTCCCAGGGTTTTCTCATCCAGTTACGTGTGGATATCTGGATAGGCATGTGGGAAGGATGGTATGGGCAGCCTTGCTGGGGTTCCTTGCTATGTGAATGTGAAGCTAGGGGTAGGCAGGCCCCTGCAGAAGCAGCAGAGAGCATTGCGATGTTTGGAAAGGAGAGTGTGGGAACACGAAATGGTCCTGTAAGAGCAGAGATCACAGGGAAGAGAACAGTGAGGACTGAGAAGGGCATTGCCGAGAATCAGAGCAGCTTTTCAGGCCACTCCACACCTAGAATGAGGCAGTGCCTGGATCTGGGAACAGTATGTGTGAGAGCCGGGGTGGAGTATGTGAGAGGCTGGAACGTCGTGAGGACCGTGGAGGCAAAGCAGCTGTCTGTAGTGAAAGTACTTCTTTGTGTTTGTGCTCAAGTTGCATGAATTCCTGCAGCACCAGAGATACCTCGAGCCGGTCTTTTTATTCAGGTAATGATAATCTTCCTCTGCTTCTGCCAGGATCTATGTAAGGACCCAACAAGACTTCTCAATCGTTCACTGGTTCCTGCCTTCCCAGTTAACTTGCTTTGTATCCCTCTCTCCCTTTAGGGGCCCTATCATGCTGTCTTCCTGTGGCCAGGAGACTCTGTAGTGATCCCAGCCACAAGGGCCTTTGTAGCCAGAAGAGGAATCCCTATTCTTGAACAAGGAGACCAGAGCCCCACCCCCAAGGAGGCTGGGAATGGCGCACCCAGCCAGGGCAGATCATGTACCAGTTCTCTTGTCCTACTTCCTGTGCTCTTCCCTTTTCTGATTGCTTGGCTTCCCATCTGTGATATTGAGGCATACACGTCTCACTTCCCAGTTCAACCTCACCGGTGTGCTGCCCTACTCCCAACCAGCAGACATCTGAGCTAACTCCAGCAGCTGGATCCCTAGGATGGAGGTTTCTTTCTCAAACACCTGCTTAAGCAGCTGCATGGCTTCAGCCATCTCTCTACCCTCTGACCCTTTTCTCTCACCCCATCTTCCATTGCCACAGAAAGTAAGGCTTCATCCTATTGTCCCTGCAAGCTCCCGTCTCTTCCTCTCAGACGAGAATTCATGCAGCCAGGCATCTGAAGGATCTGTTAGAGTATACAGGACTGTTAGTACATATGTAGCACACGTGCCTTGCTCCAAGAACACCCCAGGGATGTGAGATTTGACCTTGAAGTCAGAGAAGTCCTTAGAACTAGCATTTGAGGACCTATGGATTTTCCTACAATGATGTGGGATATTACTCAAAATGGAGAGTTCAGCTGTGGGGTCTAAAGTCTAAGCATTCATCAGAGAACAAGTCGGTTGTAATCTGAACTCTCCGTATCAAAATCTTGCTTTGCTTCTCTGATAGGAAGCTTAGCAGGTAGCTGCTCTCTGGAGCTTCTCCTCCCTAGAGACTAGGTAATATGGTTCCCTAATATGGTTGCATGAGGCTTGGCTTGCTTAAGCACCCAGGATACTGCTAGAGCCCTGGCCCTCAGGGCCCTACCATTGTCCCAAGAATCCTAAATAGGGATCTTCTGAGTACTTCAGACTTAATACTTAATGTTAGATTTAGGTGCCATGGATGCCTGCATCAACTGCTAGCACCTTGGCCCTCTCCCTGCTACAGGTGTGATGCTGCTACCTCAGGAGACCCTCTGAGACTGAGCCTTGGTTTTGATGCTGCAGACATTGCCTGGTGCTAAGGGGCTAAGTGTTTCCCAGCAGCAACAAATCCTCCTGAGGGCTTCCACTCACATCAGCTCTTCCAGCTATTGACCTCATCAGGCTCACTGACCATCTCAGCACTGTGGACTTCAGCACGGCAGCCTTCACAGTGAATCCAGATCTCCTAGGGGATGTCCTCTAGGGGTTTGGTCTTTGGGTAGTTTGATCTGCATGGCCCAGGAGCAGGCTAACGGGGAGGAACAAAGGGTCTAACTTCAATGTCTGTTTAAAGAAGCTGGGGTCTTGGAGCCTTTTTCTCTCCTCTTCCTTCCAGCTCCATTCTATAACCCTATTCATCCCATAGCTTTACCTCGATAGATGACAACGTGGGCTTCCAGAAACATGGAAAGATGATGTCCCCTCCCTAGTCCCAGCCCACACTTCTCTCTAGAAATGTATCTGTGAATGTTCTGGGAGACATGACGATGTGTGTTTTAATCCATCATCTTTTAAAGAACAAATTTGGCCCCTGTTGGAAAGAACAAGATTATAGTTCTATTCTGAGTATTTTTTAGAGAGTTCATATTTATATTTTTAGAGATGTTTTTCTTGTAGAAGGAAATTGCATAATAAAATGATAACTGTGTCTTGCTGGCGTGTCCTTTTTCATCTTGACTGGTGGAGAGTGCTAGAGTCCTGGGTTTTTGAAGGATACCTGGGTGGGTATAGAGCCATGACATCTTGCTTTGCAATCTGGCAAGAGTGAAGAATGAGGGATCTGGAAGAGATGAGGAGGAGGGGTTCTACAAACAAATCTCCAACTTGAGACATGTAGAGTAATGAAGACAAGTTAGGGTTGACCATCTTTTATGTAACTGACTGGCTGACTGCTGTAAGGGTCTCCATATATGACTGTTACTGTATCATCAGCACAATGTGTCCATGTCCCTGCTTGGGGGAAATCCTTGGGACACAATGCCCATTGGCTTCTCCTTGAAGATTTTACCCTAGGGTCTATAGCCTGCTTCCACCACAAATGGATAGAGCAACAACACACTCTTGTGTACCTTCTTCACCACAGGGACCAGTGCAGCTCCCTCTCGGAAGTTAGCATCAGCAGCTGTCAGCATAATACTCAAAGCAGTTGACTTTTGGAAAATTGCTTCCACGGCTGCTTTGAACTGGGCCATTCCTTGATGTCATTCACTGAGTAAACGTAGCTTAGATAAGAGCTGGTGAGGAGTCCCTTTGCCGTGGATGTCAGGTCTCAGGATCCAGAGGAGTCATGCTCTAGAGCAGCAGTTCCCAACCTGTGAGTCGCAACCCCTTTGGGGGTCAAATGCCTGTTTCATAGGGGTCACCTAAGACTATCAAAAATACAGATATTTATATTGTGATTCATAACTAGCAAAAGTACAGTTAAGGAATAGCTACAAAACTTTTTTTTTGGTTGGGGGTCACCACAAACAGGAACTATATTAAAAGCATTAGGAAAGTTGAGAACAAGTGCTCTAGAGAATCAGCCTATTGACTCTCTTAATAGGAAGAAGGTAGAGAGGAAACAGGAAGCTCCGGAGAGAAAGGGACGTCTGTTGTGTTCACACAGCCATTCACATTACTAAGTGAGGAAAGATGGGGTCCTTTCTGTTTAGACCTTTGCTGCATGACTAAGCCAGGGTTTGGAGTCTATAGTCCAGCATGCAGAAACTCCCTGGTTCTATGTCATGAACATCTCTACATGAGGGGAAGTCTCTGACCTTTTCTGCATCTCATTGTGGCTTCCTAGAGGTGGCAAGAGGGGGGGGGGTGCTTTCTAAGCTATCTGGCTTTCCCCACTGTGGGGCACAGCTATGTTATTCCAAGAAAGCAGGAGTAACACAAAAACCAACTGAGCAGTATTCCATGCATGGAAAAGGCATTGAAAATACTTACAATAGCAATATTTTTCTTTAAGTCTGCTGCAGTGACCGTTCTTTAGGTGACCTCATCTATTGCCTGGCTTTGGGTTCTGCTTCTGTCATCAATCAGGTGTTAAAATGTACCTGCTATATCATGCTCCCCTTTCCCACAATTGTGCAACATTTTTATTTTATTTTATTTCATTTTATTTTTTGTCTATAGTCAAGTATGCAGAAATGATTATAAAAAATTAGGGAATTTTTTTTAATAAGTGTAGAAATGGATATGCATATGACACTTTTTCAATGCTGTCCTCTAAGTTGGTCTAGAAACTAGAGGGGGAGGATGCATTTTTATTTAGACACTGGTGACAAGTTAGTGCTTCTAAAGCCTGTACCCCAGATTCTGTCCTAGACTCAGAGAATTTCCTCTTGGTCAGTTTGCTCACCAGTTTTGGAATCCCTCTGAGGTATGTGAATGCTAAGAATGTTCAGAAACTTTGTAGGCTTCTATTGTCTCTTCATTCCCTGCCATCTCAAACCTCTGAATTTCCAAGCCCAGCCTGACCATGGTTATCTCTAAGATTTTGACCCTCTGGGTCATATAGGCTTCACTCATCAGTGCTCCGCACAAGGTCCTCCCAGGTTTATAACCCCTCACATGAAGCACCTCACCACCACCACCACCACCACCACCACCATGGCGCTCTTGGGAGTAGGGATAAGCATAGATTGATGATGTAGACAGATTCACTACCACCCTAAGTACAAGTGTCATGTCTGCTTTTCATCGCTCAAGAAAGCTCACTCCAGAAACTTCCAGTTGTCCAGTGAAATCCCTGTGGAGGTCTTTCCGCCTCCTGTGAGCCTTCCTCCCTGCTGTCATTTGCACCAGGGGCACATGATGAGAGCCCAGTCTTCCCACCACCAACTTCCTACTAATGAGAAAATTCCTCCACTTTCCGTATCTAGGGACCGACCCTCTTGAGACAAGTCTTTGTGTCCAGCTTATCTCCAGCTGCTGCCATGATGAATAGCCCAGCCCAAGGGAGCCTGGGGAAGCTCTACCCCCAGGAAACTTGGTTATTAATACAGACAGGGTAACAGGCTTGAAGAAATATTTAAGGACCAACCCAAATACACCAGACTGCATTCTCTCCCGTGGGAGTTGCTTAAGATTATGTTGGTTACACGGAGCAGGAAACATGGCCTATGTTTTTCTTTGCTATAGGAAAAGGAAAAGGCCCACAAATAAAACCTCTCAGCAAACTGCAGCTTTTTTCTTCTCTTTTTACCATTTCAATAGTCAGCTGTTCCCAGTGCCATCTGCTTGGCTACCTTCTTTCTTAAAACATCCCTGTTTGTCACCTTATCTGTCCTAAGATTGTGCTTCTTACATAATCCTAGTTGGCTCCATCTGATGTTCAAGCACATCCAAGTGTTCAGCCCACACCATGGACCAACGCACAGCTTCCCAGGAAGTTTGGGATTGTCCCAGACACTGAAGAGTAGTCAAGGGAGCAGCACAGAGGGAAGTAAGTCCTACAGCTTGAGACATCAGCGCTATAGATGAATTCCTCACACCTGTAGTAGACAGACCCAATCTTCCCAGTGCCTCCTGGTTACGGATAAACTGTCCAGATCAGCCTTCCTGGCTTAGTTTAGTCCTGGGTGCTCTGTCTGGAACAGACATCATAACTGGAGAATACTCTGTTGCCTGTAAGGTTTTGGGGGGAAGCTTCATCTTTTGGAGATGCTGTGTTGGCCTGTGTGGGCAGAAACTGTGTGCATTACAGCTCACATGAAAGAGTGGGGTTAGGAGCCTTGGCCAGGCCTCTCCCTTATCAGTCAGGGACTATGGATAGTGTATGTCATGACCAGGCCTGGGGCCTTGTTGTGAGGTGAGATGTCAGACGGTTCTCTCTACTCTAGGTCATCCTCTGCCCAGACTCAACCTGCCTACTTATTCCAAACTCATATACCATTCTGTTTCTGCCCCAGGACCCCAGGACCCCAAATTGCCAAGAATCTCTTCCCTGCTTTGTTTTTATTTTGATTTTTGGAGTTGGGGTTTGACTACATAGCCTAGGCTAGTCTTGAACTTAAAGCCCTCCTGTCTCAGCCTTCCAAGTACTGGGATTACAGGTATTCACCACCACTGCTGCCTCAGCTACACTTGTGCCTTCCTTCCTTTCCTCTGATTTTGTCAGGCTGTGACAATTCATCCTTCACCTTTCCACTGGTGTCTTCCCCTTCTTCTGGTTCCTTCCACTGTTCCCACCCTATTGTGCTTTGAATGTGAAGTCACAAGGTCTGGGCCAGGCTGAGCTATACATTCTCAAATAGTGTCATCAGCTGGGGGACCAAGTACGCAAACACTAAAACATATGAGGAATATTCACCCTCAAACCCCACCCTACCCCATCCCATGTGGTCATGTATTCTCATGTGGTTTGCAGAGAAGTACAGCCTTTTGTGTCTCTCCTCAAGTCTCTTTTGGGACAGGGCTTATACCATCTTCAGTTCTTAATATAGGCCTGCTTGCCATTCTAGGCCTGCTTGCCGTTCTAGGCCTGCTTGCCATTCTAGGCCTTCATTGGTGCTTAATTGTATCTCCGAAGCTCCTGTTCCAACAATTGTTCTGATCAGTTTACACACATCCTCTCACTTGAATTTCTCGGTAACGCTATAATCTTATTAAGCCCATTTTCCAGACACAGATAATCTTTTACTGTGGTCAGAAAACCCGACACACATGATCTTATTAATTCTCATATCTCGAGAGGAGCTATTTTGGCAGCACTGGGGAGCAGGGGAGGTGGAGGGCTATGAACTTTATAGCTGGTGAGAAGCAAAGTGAGTCCCAGAAGGCCAAGGTTATCAGACGTGAATGTGTGGGGGTGGGCACTGGGGGAAAGGATGTCATTCATCGTCCCTACCACCATCTGTAACTCTGTGCTCTTCCATCACACCAGTCTAATGAACAGTTCCAGGAACTAGTCATGGCCTAGAAATATCTTTTTGAGTTTGACCTTCTCCAAGGATAAATGGAGTTTCCCCAAACACTGAATATTCATTCAAAGTGGGAATTTAGGAACCCTGTCCTCTGTCCCCTTGTTTTTTCCACAAGAGGGAACAGCAGACTATGTTTTTAAAATGATGCTAGGAATCTCATAAAACCCCCCACAGTAACGCTTTCAAGTAAAAGACTTTATCCTTGTCTTCTAGGTCCCAGATCAAAACTTTAGGGATTTTAAAGACTCCCCACAGCCCATGTCAGGCAATAACAAAGCTGGTATTAGTGTCTCCGCAGAACATTGATTCTTCAGGGTATTAGTAAGAATCTGCTCTGAAATGTAAACATTTCCACATGCAGAAGAATGGAGAGGCAGGAGCGCTTACAAACCCGTGGAGGGATGGCTTGTGCACTTACCCTGAAGTTCAAGCATTCAACTGAGTCCTATTTGGCAAATACCTGCCAAGGAAATTGGTCAGGTTTCAAGGCTACCATGGTTACTCAAACAGTGCTTGAAAACCAAACCAAAACAAAAATCCTGTGGTACTAGCTTTCTTGATAGCTGGCTGACCTCATGTGGATCAATTTAGTATTACAGTTTCTCATTCCTTCCACAAAAGGAAGATTTTCCATGACAAAAGAATGGCATTAGTAAATGCTGCCCTCTGCCTGGAGTAGCTGGTATTTATACTAACATTGTTCCATGGGTAGTTTGTGGAGGAAAAAAAATAAAA